AAATTCTGCACCGCTGGGTACCTGTAGCTGAAACCAAATTCCTTGTTACTCCTCTTACATTCTCCAACAGGCAATCTATCAAACAAGGTAAGTGTTTTTTATAAGTACAGTAGGTATTAAAGTTTTCAGAATAGATGTAAAGTACTAGTATCAAAGAATATTTCATTCACTGTCAATGCTGTGATTAAAAATCACAGTACCGCTACACAGGAAAAGTACCAAAAAAAAGGAATAGTTTAGATATTAAATATGAAGAAGTTTGTGTTTTGAAGATGCATGAAAGTAGCTGAATCCATTCTGTAAAACATAGGAACTTTGGACAAAAGACCATTCATTTCTATAAAATAAAGGATTTAAAATATACACAATTCAGAACCTAAAGAACTTTTAGACATTTCATAATCAAAGAGCAACTATGCAAACCATAATTGAAGAATACAAGCAAACAGGAATAGGCCATTTCCTTTCTTTGCTGCTTCTTTCACTTATTTGTTCAAAGAGGTTTACACTGTTTATGTTGTTTGCATGACAAAGTCCTTATGTATAATGGTAAGAATATTAGTTTATGAAATGTTGGATTCATCAAAATTACCTGTGATGTGTGCTATAACCCCATCTCCTTCCCAAACAACCGTTCCAACCTTTCCCCATAGCTGTCTAGACCTTCCCTGTTACCCTCAAGATAAGATCCTGTGCATCTGAAATTGTAGGTGACCCCAAAATGCTTAAGACCAAACCAAAGCTTATTCTCTTAAGAGAAAGGTACTTCTTTTCCTACCGCAGAATCATCTATCTGTCTGAACCCTCTATTCCTCTCTAATACTGTTAGAACATGCTGTTAGAAACCCTGACTGCAGTTTCCGTTAGAAAATCAATTCATTTGAATATTCTTTAGCATGTATCAAGTATATTGGCCTATAAGTGGTGAAAGCACTTCCAAGTCACACCTTTGAGATCAGAGCAAGTTTGTTGCTGTGAATATCTTTGCCATACTTTTTTTACACTGTGAAATGCCATTAATATTCATAGCATCAGCCATTATAAAGTGGCCAAATATATAAACTATCCTATTTAGTTTTCAGAAATTCTTCGTCTTTCTGACAGAGGAGCAAATAAACTGAGTCAGGCATTTACCTTACAGTGTAACATGCTGCTTCAGTCATGCAAATATCACCAGGCAACTGCTGAGAGCAAATGCAATCCTAATCTTCCTCAACAGGAGCTTGATTCCACACATTTTTTTTACCAGAACAGCTAACTTACTGATTTTTTTTTCTTCTAACATGTTTGGATGGAATACGTTTTTGGGATTTGAGTCAACCAGCTCCTAAATGTGGGTGTTACTGATTTGTCTCTCTTAAATTAATTTATTCTATGTTCTTTGCTAATTTAACTGTCTGAATAGGTTGAATAGAAGATGTATATACCCAGGCTGTGTAGCAGTTACAAACTTGCTTCTTTTCACTACATTGCTCTGGGACCCAGTGGACAATCAAGCATTTCCCAGACTTTAGTCAGGAGGCTTCTCTCTGTGAAGTCAAAGACAAAACTCGCATTGGTTCAAATTCTAAATCCAGAATGAGTCCATTGATTTCAGTGGAGTTACTCCAGATTTACACTGATGTAACAGACAAAAAAATTGACCCATTGACTTCACTGGGAGAATATAAGGCCCATATATATTTTTTTTTTTTTTTGTTAAGCAGCCAAAGTTACTGTGGTAATTGTAGTTTACTACAGGTGTTGGATATAAAGCTTGGAAGCAATATTGTTTGCTAAAAGCAAACAAAAAAGCATCAGGAGTGCTTTGCTAGTGACGTGTTATCTCAGAAATTTGATGTGAAAATGAAAGAGAAATTAATTCCAGGGGCAGATAGAGAGACACCACTGTAGTTAAGGTTATATCAGCGTTCACAATGAAAATCTCTGTTTTCCCACTCAGGCACAATATTGTGCTCCAGGCGGAAAATTGTCATTTAGCTTTGATTTCCCAGCTTTTGTCAGTTTGTCACCACTTTATTATTTAAACAGTTTTCTATGCCAAATAATGGCATTGCGCAGCTATGGCAGAAAAATTAGAACTTCTAAAAGAACAATTTCTATTACAGTTACAAACAATACAAAGGCTGCCAAAAAGGCTTATAGACTCAAGGAACAATGCTCTTAGTCTTGTCTTAAGATTGAAAAAAAATTACACATCAGCATCACATTCAGGAATTGTCAACAGAAGAGAGCAATTCATTTTTATTAAGAGATTTTCTAAATACTAGAATACTTGTCATATGTTCTGCCTTGGAAAATGCATTATAACTCGAAAAACTGGCTTCATAGTACAATTCAGTACTGTACATGTTTGGTACAATGCTAGGCCCATTTTTTCAGCATACTATTGATATAGGATCTCACTTCCAAACTAAGGCACACACAATTACACACCAAAAATGTGTCTACATTACTGTGCATAATTTGCACTTGCAGGGAATGTTTGCACAAATCAGACAGTTGCGCACACACACAGATAATTACATGCATGACTTGACCAGTGGTTGCTGCAGAACTACAGTGATGGGGCCTCTGGTAAAACAAGGCTTGGTTAGATCACCTGATTGGTGCACACAGTCAAGCAGTGTATGCACATGTGTGCATTTTTGGATGCTTCATGTGGAAAATCAAGCCATCAGACTTTCCAGTCCTGAAAAAATGTAGGATTCCCTGTATCTCCTCACTGAAGATGAAGAATGGGGGCTTGAGTCAAGCCCATTGAAGTTAGTGAGTCCATCTATTAACTTCAAGGGGCTTTGGATCAGGTTCCAGTTGTGATGGAAATGTGGGATAGAGGATTGAGTAACCAGGAACTATTGAGTTCTAGTCCTTACTCTGACATCTACTGAGGCCTTTGGTAAATCACTTTCACCCAGATTTTCAGAGGCAGTCATGCATAATTCCCTATGCCCAGGGCCGGCTCCAGGCACCAGCCGAGCAAGCTCGTGCTTGGGGCGGCAGATTCTAAGGGGCGGCTTCCCTCCAATCCTTTTTTTTTTTTTTTTTGCTTCGCTGCTCCCACCACCCCGCAGGTTTTTGTTTTTTGTTTTTTTTTTGCTTGGGGCGGCAAAAAAGCCAGAGCCAGCCCTGCCTATGCCTAATCTACAAGTGCAAATACCCCTTGTGTGGACGGAAATGTTTGCCTGCCTAAACCAAGGGGGATTGTGGTAATATAACATTTTTACCTAACTCACTGAGGTGTTTTGAAAATTACTTAATTTTGCAGTGTTCTTTGGCACTGGAAAGTGATAGTATGTGAATGCAAAGTATTTTGTGTTACAGGGAAAATCATTTAAAATCTTTACAGTTCCCTTTGTAAGCAATGAATGTTATCACAGTTTGGGCAATATTTCCTGAATAAAGTACAGGGAATACTGCGTTAACATTATCTGTTTACACACACAAATTTGTAATGACTTTGCCATGAAATACACAGTAGCAACAGTTAAGACAAAAAGACAACTAACCAGGTTATGCTTCTCGCAGCAAAGCTAGGAAACTCTGTCTCAGAAATCACAGCAGAGTTAAATCTAAGCAAGGACTTGCACGGAATCTATCAATTCACATAAGATAAGCTAAAAGTTCAGAACTTTCCTTGAAAGGGTTTTTCGTTTACTATTTGCTTGAAAGGAAGAACATCACACTCAGATCTCTGTTAGATAATCAGAATAAAATGTGTTCATTCCTATATTGTGATTCACAACACTCAAACTGTATTGGAAAAAAATAATTCTGGTAAAGTTACCAGCCAGGTTTAGTTTATTTCAACATCTAAATGAAGAATGCCTTTTTAAATTTCCAACTAATGAGTCCATGTGCACTGATGAGACATAGGAGAGTTGCTAAGGGCAACCAGAATGCCACAAAGATTAAACCTCTGCAGAGTTCGGGGGCGGGGGGAACAGAAAAGGAAGAAGATGGTTACAGAGACGATGAGATGACACAGAACACAAGGATCTGGGAGCCGGAAAACCTACCAAACCCCTCCTCACAACTCACAGAGAAAATATGGACATTGATTTTACTTTTACATTCTCACCAGTTATAAGTATATCCGTCAGAATTATGTTATATGGCTTGGAAATATCTTGAAGTTCTGGTTTTAATTCCAATTTTGAATGGGAATAGAACACTTCAGACCATGCAGTACTGCTGATTCATGCACACTTTGTATCTGTTGAAGGAACTCAACATCACTTCATATCTTGCTAGACACCCAGACTCCTACGGTCTGTTGTCTTGCTACTTATTAGGGCTGATATTCTGTTGTTTTAAGTACCATTTGATTGTTAAAACCCCTTTTTGAGAATAAGCAATTTACAACATGTTGTAGTCGCACCATTTCTTTTGCGGTGGCAAAACTACAGTGAATGTTAGAGCCGAGGAAATAATTCACAGAATAAATAACTCAGGCACCAGTACTCCTCTATGGTCCAGCTGCTTTGTGCCACTCCATCACTGCAAAGCTCACAGGGCTACCTTGGGAATCCCTTTGTAAACAGCTCTACTCCACCCCCTACTGGACCTAGTATAGAATATGTCACTAGGGAGGAGGGAATAGGAACAAGTGCCAATGCCGTCTTGTGATCCCAGGTACTGGAACATTCCCAAGAGAGCCAGGAATAACTTGAAGTCCGGGGGTGAAGCCGGCCCCTTGCCAACTCCAGGACTAGGGAGCCACACAGGCAGCCACCCTTTCAGCTCTGCTTTGCCCTTAGGCCAGACCAGGGATCTGCCACTAATGCTTTTATTTTTATTATTTTATTTTGTTCGCTGATCAGGAACAGTCTTGTGTGGTTACTGGATACACACCATTCAGCATTTGAGCCAGCTGTTGCAAAGGGTCTCTTAAGTCACATGGTGCTATTTCTTTTCCCTGGTTGGATGAATTGCCTTATAAGCACAGGAGCTTTGACTCTCTCTCTGGGAGAGGTGGTAAATTCACTGACAAAAAAAATCTTTCTTAACACAGAGTTCAGTCCTAGTAGTGCCTTTCCAGAATGTCAAGTTCAGCAAAACTCATACCTCTGAACCCAGACTTAAGC